TCTCTCTCTCTCTCTCTCTCTCTCTCTCTCTCTCTCTCTCTCTCTCTCTCTCTCTCTCTCTCTCTGTGTTCTGCAGCGCATGAACTTTGTCATTTGTCTTTTTTTAAGTTGTTTTTCGCCTTGTGTACATGCTCACAAAGGCTACGTTTCTGTGCTGGGAGTGCATTATTGGTTTCCACCCACTGCAGCTTTCTCCCCTCTTCATTTTGGGAACGACCTCGGAACGCCCTGTGTAGTATCTGTGGACAAGATTTCTTCTGTTTGAATTTGTTGCTATTCCGTGCTTTACTTGAAGATTGCTGTTCTGCATTTTGCTTGCTGTTTTCTCAATCCTCTAATGGTAATTATGTTCTCTTGGGAATCTGTTCCTTCTGGTCATCGTTGAGTTCAACCCCAGTTTTTGTGGTTTGGATAGTCTTGTCAACTATATACCTAAGCCAGTGGGCGATGGTCGAGCCTGAGTACGGCTTGTACGTTTCCCGTCACAATGGCACACCTGTAGGAGAGTCCACACAGAGCGAACTTAGACTACAGTAGGGCCCATCTTGGGGGGGGGTAGTCCTACGCACACACTGGGTGTTAGTACGGGGTAGGGGCTGGGCACTTTTTCATCCTACGGGTATCTCACGATCCCTGTGGGTGGTGCTTCATCCAGTTTGATGACGGTGGGAATTCTCATTGGGGAATTACTTGGGATTGGGGAGCCTTGGGTAGGAAATGCATCATGCTCAGGATAGGGGAGGGCGGGATATCGCATCTTAGCAGAAGGGTGGTTCGCTGCCCGTGGAGTCTTAGCCAAGAAATTGAAAGCGGAAATCAAAGAGAGATTCACACCAAATAGGAGCTAGCAGAGCACTGAAGTCTCTTCACAATGAAAGTCCTTCCAACGTCTCCAATTATCAATGCAACCATAAAGCCTGGGCCTTTTGGAATCTGCACAAGGCTCAGCATCTTCAACTAACTCCTGGGCTGAGCCCACCGGCGAGTTGAAGATGCTGCGCACTCGTGCAGCAACTACCTAGGGCGCCCATTCTGCTCACATTGGCCTGTACTCTGTCCAGGCCTCATTTTTGGATGCCCGGGCAGGCCTTTTTGTCCAGCTGACCGAGGTGCTAAACCCTCGAACACACAC